TCTCTCTCTCTCTCTCTCTCTCTCTCTCGCATAGGTGGTTCTTTCGTTCCCCCCTCACCCCGGGAAGTGGGAGAGGTCCTCCTCACCGTTGTTGCCGCGTGTCTCGCAGGAGGAGGCCGACCGACATGAAGGACTGCCAGCCACGCACGGCCCAAAGACCACCCCAATCCACAGCCACATGAATGCACACGCTCACAGACCCAAATATGTGGCGACGGGCCAAGGAGAAAGCATCCTGCTCAGGCACTGGGGCCATACTGCGCCGGTGGGAGGAAAGGGAGGGGGGGGGGGGGGGAAATAGGGCATGCAGACACATGGATAGCATGTCGAAGGGGGACAAGATGAGGAGGGATGGTGTGTGTATATATATATGATAGAAAAGACATAACAAGGACGGACAGGGGAAAAGAGGGGGCGAGAAAAGAGGGCCAACAGTGGGAGCGGGAATCCGGCACACTTGGAGGGAAGGATGACTCCCTGCCAGAATGCCCGGGGCCTGGGGAGGAGAACCCGGAAAAGAGAGTGGCCCATTCGGCGGACACATGCCTGCAAAGGGGAAAGGCGCAAGAAAATGCCACCAATACACGCCCACATGACGCCTCATGGCCCTGGCGCGGCGCAGCGGACGCGCGCACGGCCGACGCACGCACGCACGCGCACACGTGCGGGACGACCCACACATATACACGCGCACACACGCGCACATGTACATACACATGTACCTACACATGTATACACATACACACACACACACATACATACTTACATCCATCCATACTAGCAGGAAGATGGCCACGCATGTCAAAGGTTGCCGGTTTGGCTGCCGAGCTCGATGCGCGCCTGGCGCGTCTGCACGGTGCCCAATTCCTTGGCCGCTTCGCGGGGGAACCACCCGGACAGCAGGGACCCGCGGTGGTTGGCGGACCCGCCGCCGCCGCCGCCGCCGCCGCTTCCAGGGGACAGCACGCGCCCGGGCAGCCAGGCGGCCGAGCGCGAGGCGCTCGAGTCCTGCAGCTCAAGCAGAGCTCCAGTCTCGAAAGTTAGCTCGGCCCCTGGGGCACCGGCGCCCCGGAGCCCAGGCCGGTGACCATCCGTCGCCCGGAAGAGCGGCAGCTGGCTGTCGCTGGACAGATCCGGCGAGCCGGGTGGCCGGATGGCCGCCGCACTGGATCCCGGCGCCACGGACACCGGCCGCGAGGCAGGGACATTCAGCGAGCCCGGCTTGGCCGGCACCGGGGGCGGGGATCCGGCCGGGGCAGACGCCGCCGCGGTTTCCATCACCCCACGGAAGGGGCCCCCATAGGAGGACAATGGCCGCGGGGAGGCCGGCGATGAGGCGCTCTCGTTGCCGGCCACCGCGGCCGAGCTGCCCCAAGTGCTGGACATCGGTCGCGTCAGGGGGGTGCCGCCCGCCGCCGCACCGATGGCGGGCCCGCCAGCCGGGCGCCGGGGAACCACAGCCGGCGGCCCGGCATTGTTGGTGCCGCTCACCAGACGATCTACCCCGGCAAAGGTGCCGCCACTGGGCGACACCGAATGCAAGGACTCGCGCTTGACACCCATCACCGTGGGCGAGGATGCCGGCTGCTGCCCGACGGAGGGGGTGCTGACCACCGGACGAGGGGCCGGAGTCGGTGGGGTGGGCTTCTTCGGGGGAACCGGGCGCACTGGCACGGGCCCGGGCGCAACGGCGGGCGAGGAAACCGGCACGGGAGCCGGGGCCGGGCCCGGGCCCGGGGGCCCCGTGCGCACCGGCGTCCGGGGGGGGATGTCCGGCAGCGGCCGACCCCCCGGGCCCGGCGTAGGAGTGGTATCCACGTGCAATGCCCCGGCGCTGGAGGATCCGGGGACCGGCGGCGGCGGGCCCTTCCGCGCGGCGGCCGGCGTGGTGCCCGTGGTCCCGGCCGCCTCAGCCGAGGAGGCTCCCTCATCGGCCGAGGGCTTGACCGAGGCCGGCGGCGGCACCGGCGCCAAAGAAGATGCCACCCGGGGGGCCGGCGTCGGGGGCAGACTCCGCAGCCGGGGCGGGGCATCGGGCGGTGACGAGCCCAGGGGCGAGGAGGGCGACCGCGGGGGAATCGGCGGGGCGGCGACCGCCAGCGGGGTCGTGGCGGCCGGGCCGGAGCCTGCTCCAGGCGCGGTAGCGACGGTGGCCGTGGTGGCCGCGGTGGCCGTGGTGGCCGCGGTGGCCGTGGCGGCATTGCTCGAGGCCGCGGCCAGCGCATCCGACGAGGTGGAGATCGAGGGCAAGTCCGACGAAGACCCAGACAGGGGCTTGCCCGATCGGGGGTCCTTCAGCACGCGTGTCGAGGCCGAGCGACCGAAGAACCCACGCAGCCGGCTGGATGTGGAGGGGGTGCGCTCCGGCAGCCCTGGGCTGCTGAGGCTCGGGGAGATGCTGGAGTGCGAGGAGGCCGAGGCGGAGCGTGAGTGCGATGACGATGACCCAGCCGAGAGGGACGCCGTCGAATCGGCATCAGCCAGGGAGGACGCGCTCGATGGGTCATCCTGGATGCCAGCATCGTCACCATCATCATCGTCATCATCGTCATCGTCATCATCATCGTCCTCGTCCTCAGGCGGGGTCAACTTGCCGGACGCCGGCAGGTCTTGAGGCTTCTCGGTGCCGGCGGCCTCGGCATCTTCCACTTCGGGAGTCCATTCCGGGGCATCGGTGCTCACGGTGAACATGCTGTAGAAGCCCTTGGACTGCTTGGAGCTGGGGGATCTGCGAGAGCGCGAGGGGGGGGGAGAGGGGAGGAGGGGAGCATGGGCGGCGGCCGGTGAAGGGTGAGTGGTGAGCGGCGAACGAGGGAGGGGGGGCATGGCAGGCAGGGGAGACCAGTGTAAACGCACCCGCGCTTCTTCACCAGGTCCGGGCGATCCTTCACCAGGACCTCGATGGCTCGCTCCAGGTGGGCGCACCACTCCTCGGACGCCCGACAGGAGTCCTTGGCAAACATGGTGTACGTCTTGCTCGGGGTGATCACCTGGAAGGCATTCATCAGGGTCTTGTTGGGAGGCAGGCGCCGAACCCAAGCCGTGGACAGGTCGATATGACCGCGGTACTCCACGCGTTGGTCCTCATCCATGATCAAGCCGCGGATCTTGTCCCGGGTGATGGTCATATTGCCACGCGCATAGAGAAGGATGTCATTGAAGAGGAAGAACCACCTCTTCTGCACGGCCTTGCGGGAAATTTTGTGCAACTCACCCACATGCACGAAGTGCCGGCTCGGGATGACCAAATCCCCGGGGAAGCTACCGGAGAGCATGGTGTTGATTTGGTAGACCTGCAGGAGCATTGTCCCAATCCGGGCCAGTGAAGCATGGGCGTGGGTGTGTGTCGGTGTGAGGGTCCATGTGCATGGGCGCCGGCGTGTGGGCAGCAGAGGCCAAGGACAGCACAGAGAGCGAGGGAGAAAGCGCAAGGGGGGGGAGGGGGGGGGGGGGGGGTACGCACGCGATGGGCCGCCTCAATGACCTTGAGCCGGGAGTTCGTGTCATCGGCGATCTTGGAAACCTTCTCCAGGCCCAGGGTAAGGTCCTCGAAGTCCGGATGATCGGGGTCCGTGTACTTAATGACCGCCTCCAGCAGCATGCGGTACCGGGGGATGCGCTGAATGGGCAGGATAAAGAAGGACACCAGGGAGAGTCCCTTCATGTCGGGGAGTTTGAGCTGCTCGGTGACGAAGGTCCGGAAGTCGGGATTCGTCTTGTTAAAGCTGTCCACCATGTTCAAGACGGCCTGGTAGCTGTTGAAATACATCAGGTACATCTGCACACCAGGCAATGGGATGCGCCGGGAGACGGGGGGGGGGGG